TTGCATATTCAACACAATGGCCTTATATTTAAACACACTTTAAATATATGCTTTATTATTTTAAAGTGGGATACATAATTATTTTTATTTTTCTAAAATTAAAAGGAAGATGCACATAAACCTGCGAAACATGTATTTTTCCCCTTGTTTACATGAATGTGGTCTTTTCTTAAGCCCTAAAATGTAAAATACTAATAAATGTCAAAATTCATTATATAATTTTTATTTATTTAAAGTCACTCCCTCTGGCTGGAAACAAAAAAACCTTCATATGAATTTGAAGTGGCCCATGAGCCACCAGTTGATAATTACCGTTGTAGCAGATTTTGCAGCTCTAGACACATTTTGTTTAGTAAGTGAAGGCTAGAAATGGCTCTTTTGATCGAAAAGGTTTCAGACCTCTGGTCTGGATGGAGTTTGTTTTCCCAGTGCATGCAAAGGTTTTTTTATGGGTTTCCTTTTCTTCCACAGACCAAAAACATGCATGTTAGCTTAAATGGTAACTCTATTTTGTGGTCGAGAGCGTGAATGGTAGTTTGGCTCCATGGGTCCCTGTGATGGACTTGTGACCTGTACTGGGTGTACCCCGCTTCTTCCCAGTGACTGCTGGAGATACACATGGAAAGGAGAAGTGGGTAAAGATAGATGGATGCTGCCAGAGTTTGTGCTGGTAAATAACCACAAAACTATGCAAATAAGCATTTAATATAACAATATAAAGGATTCTGAAGTAGTGTTTGTTATTTACTGACATTTTTTTTGCATAATTTTCTTTTATTTTTTCTCAATTTATATGCTTTCTTTTATGACTGTCTACTGTTGTCATCATTCTAAAACAGGTCTTTCTTGTAAACGAGTCCTTGAAGCTCAACGAGACTAACCCGTATAAATGAAAGGTTGAATGAAGTTGTAATTTGGGGGATTTGAGTAGTTTTAAGACAGATGCAGTCCACTTTGATCCAACTCAAACTAGCCATTAGCTCAACCTGTTCCAAACTGAACTCTGTTTCAATACAGTATTTTGTTCATAATATTTTCAGGTAAATTCACTTGAAAAAATTTCAGGTATTGTTTCAAGTACATTTATAAAAACGACTTGCCTCCTAACAATGTTTTTCTCTCATTAAAGGCAGTCCTGCATCTTTCAGTAACAATAAAAAGCATTCCTCTCTTTAAAGGACTGCCTTTTTCTCCCAAACAGTTTGTTTCTGAAGGCTAATCAATCCCCAGCCAATCTAGAAGCACATTCAGATGGCCTACTTTGTCTTAAACCCAACAGTTGGGGGTCTTGCCCTCTAATTAATCCGACTTGTCCCTCTGCTAAACACTGGATCAGTTTGCAGGACTGCTGCATTATTCAGCACAGTTGTGGGTGGCAGAGGAAGTCTGCGGCCAGGAGTCACATTACTCCGCAAAGCAGCAAAGCTAGAGAAATGAAGAAAAAAATGAAATGAATAGAAGAGGAGTTGGAATGAGTGGGGATGTACTATGTTTTAAAAAAGGAGAGAAATAAGGTGAGCTCTAAGACAGACTGGAACCACAGCTGGGCCTTTAGGCATAAAAGCTGCGTATGTTTTTTCAACACATCAAATGACCAGTTGACAACGCAACATCTTCCTCCTCTTTTATTGATAATCATTTTCCCAAACAAGAACCCACCCCCCAGCACCAATGTACATCGGTCCTCTCCGTCTCTTACATTAAATAGACCCCCTCGTCTTCACAAACACAATGTTCAAAAACACAGTAGTCATTTATTCTCAGGTCATACGGAAATGAACGAGTGAACTCAGTGATCCTGCGCTGGCAATGGCAGCAGTTACAATAGAAAGCTCTGGAATGGTGAAAGTACGACACACTCACATGGGAGATGAAATCATTCTTGTGGAGAGGCGAGTATTCTGAAATCAATAAAATTGAATGCGAAAAAATAATAATTCCTACATGCTCTGAGTGCTGAGCTAAACAATCAAAGAGATTCAGTTCATACACTGATGCAGGGGTGAAAAATAAAACTCACAGAAGGTTCTTTTACAGCACATTCAGCTTTGTGGTTACGCAGTGAACATCTTTACTCAGGGCAAACATATTATTCACAAATATTCACAGCACAATATACATCTGTATGTACACATTCCTTCCAGTCTGGAGAGAAAAAAATATTTTTTTGTATCTTCCTGACAAAAACAAGCTGCACATCATAATTCTGGTACCAGAAGCATACGATGAGCTGCAAACTAACAGCATGGTTCAAGTTGGCCTCCATCATCAGATGGAAAAACTTTCTTCGTTAGTTCATCGCTTCAGGCGACTCCTGTTAGAAATGCAGTACGACGTTTTTCGACTAAGATTAGCAAAATTGTCGTCTTGTGCTCCTTTACAAATAAATCATCAAGGCGACAAAACCAACCTTTGCACCATTTCCAGAAGAACTCAGAATGGAGGGTAAGTAAATGGTAGAATGGAGCTCAACCCAACGTTTAGAAGGAAATGTAGCAAAAACTGATCTGAGTTCATCAACGAGATTCAGCTGAACATTCTGGACTCCCTACATATGGAGGATTTGCCACTTTGGGCGAGGTGAAAGGAATGTGTATGTACCAGCAGACAGGATGAATGTTTAATCACTCGTGTTCTGAGTAGCTCAAATGTACTGACCTTATTGTAACTGAAGATACAATGAAATGTAGAGGAGATTTCCAATAAAGTTAAGTCAGTTCCTCTGGACAGTTTCTTTATGCTGAAGCATTTCATCTTTCATCCAAAAGACTTCATCAGTCCGAGAAGCCACAACAAACTCAAGATTTATAAATAGCACCTTCTCTCTTGAACATGAATCAGAATGTTCTGAAGCACTTTGGCCATGGCCGTATGAATCGTCGGGGGAGGGTTGACTACAGAAACCATCTGAGCACCAGGAGAAGGTGCTATTTATAAGACTGAGTTTGTTGCAGCTTCTCGGACTGATGAAGTCCTTTGGATGAAAGACGAAACGTTTCAACAAGAAGGAACTGTCCAGAGGACCTGACTTAACTTTGTTGGATTTTTCTACCTGGATTATTGAGCGTAAATCAGGATGGAGATTTCCTTTATTATTTTGAACATCAAGTTTTATCATCAGGTTTCAAGTGAAGAGTTACCTTGACAGATGCATAAAGTTATAAACAGACTTGTGCCACAAGCGAAATAATCCATAATGACAGATGGAAAAATAAATAACTACAAATAAAGTGTTGTATGATAGATGTCACCCTCTTAAAAACAAGACTACAACCACTGCAGTCCATTCAACCTTTGTTTCAGGTCATTCTTCACAAGAGTTGATAATCCGCACGGCCTTTTGCCGAGCACAAAATCACCATTTAGCTGTTTTTTTGTGAAAAATGTGATACAATACAGAAATAACATAAGGTGTTGAAGTAGCAATAAAAAAAGTTTTTGTGGGCTAACATGTAAATATAGATCACATGGTTCTCTGATACTCGGTGGAGGGGCTAAGCTGCAACTTCTTATTTATCGGGATGGGTTCTGTGGTACCTTCCCCGTCCACCTTGCTAATCTTTTTCCAAAAGGAGCGTTGGGGAAAATGGTTAAATGAAACCCATTCAAAAAAACATTAAAGAAATGTAAAAGGAATTCTATTTGTGGTTCTGTAAAAAAATACAACAGTTTTCTCTCCGTGTGATGTGACTCAGATGTGAATCACATATTCCAGAGAGCTCCAGCGGTCACGGAGTCCAACTAGTAGCTGAAAAATAGAAGCAGGTTCTCTGGACAGATGTTTCTCATTACTCTCTCTTCACAATATATCATTTCCATATCATACATTCTGTTCCATGTGGTGATGCACAGTGGATTACTTTCCCCTGCGGTATTTTTTTATTACACAGCCATTTTTCTTTTTAATTTACAACACTTAATGTATAGCAACATTTTCTAAATGAGCCTCACATCCGAAGAGATCAAGATCTAACTGGTTGAACTTAGCAGGTAATTTACAGAAGAACCAAACAGCTTAAAGAACAAATGGGTAAAAACCTGTAATTCTCTAACTGGTGAAACACATCACCACAGTATTCTTGGTACATCATTTTTGATGTTAGCACTACGGCATCTCCTTACAGTTTCGCTGCTGGTCCTTTTTCTTTTTATTCGTACTGGGTATAAAATACAAACAATCCCTTGGATCATACTCTCTGTTTGTTGACATCTATTAAAATGAAGTGATAGAACAAAATATAGCGTTCAAGTCAGTCAGTGGGATTGGCACTGTGAGAGTAATGAGACGGGGATCTCTCCCTGTAATCCCAGCCCACATGCTAATCCAGCATACAAATTATGGCAAAATACAATACAATGGAATACTGTACAGTTTATGCCAGTTTACAGTTCATCAATACTGATGTAAACCAGGCTGGTTAGCTCTAATGCTGCTTGTCTATTAAACTTTTTGCTGCTGTTTTCTTTTTCTTGTTTTCTATTTACAGCTGCTTGTTAATCATTTTAGATTAGGAGTTGATTTAAACCCATGTTTCTTAACATTGAACAATAAGGCAGTTTATGGTATTGTACATAAGTCTTGCCACTCTTCAAAAAAACAAAAATGCCTCCAAGTTTAGGTAACTTTGGAATTAACGTCCGGCCTCCTCGCTGTTGAAATGAAATGATGGAGCACAGGCGCGGTGAGCCTTCCTCAGTACAAACAGGTCCAGAGTTGTTCTGCTGCTGCAGAAATTCTCAGCGCAAATGATTCAGTCCGAGAGGCAAAGTGGACCACAAAATAAAAAAATAAAATACATCAAAACAACACCAACAAGGAGGAAATAACAACTGTACATTAAAGGTTAAAATTTAGAACCTTGATGGAGTTTTTCTATTCATCCTTCATGCTTCTTTAAAGACCAAAGGTCCAAACTTTAAAGAAGAGGGGGTGTCACTTGGCGACCCCAGAGCAAATTGGCAGAACACGGGATACAGCTGCTGTCATAAACCGTTAGTTGCTATCTGCCTTCGAAACAGTCCAAGTACTCCAGGACAAGGTCATAGCAAAATCGATACTGGTCCTGGAAAAACACACAAATCGAAGAATGAAGGAAAAAAAACTTTTCTATCTGTTGAGAAACAGTTTTTATTTCTTTACAGCCTTTCTTACCAGAGACTCCACCATGTTGGGTTTGCAGTTGCGTAGAGTTTTGACAGCATAAAAGATGTCCACCATGTTCTGGTACTGGATCATCTCAAGGAGGATGTTGCAGGCACAGAAGCTCCCACTGCGACCACCACCATTGCTGTGGGGGGTGTGGGGAAAGAGAGGTCTGGTTAAAAATAAATCACAGACAGCAGAGGAGTCAATAATGTTGAAGTTGCCTTCCTATATGTGCCATCGTCTCATTGGCATCAGAAGCATTTGTAACGAGGGGGAGAATGACAGTGATGGTGGTGTGGGGGGTGTCTGGGGATCATCTCCCAGAAAATTTTGTCATCAAGATCTTGGTGTATTTTAATGGGTTGTTAAACATCTATGTGTACTTACATAAGTAAACACTGAATCAATAACTATTTTAAAGTTAATGGCACAAAAAGAAGTAGTCTGACCAACAGCTCTCCTTGTTGAATAGAGCACACTCCACTTCTCTCACACATCCTAAAACCTCACCCCCGGTCAACAACTGCTGGCACTAATGTAGCGCTAAGCTAGTGCGCAATACAGAGGTGTTTCTCCCCCTATTCCCCCTGCCCTGTTTACAAAAAAAAAAACTCAGAGATGAGTGCCCTACCAGGCCAAGTGACCTCTGGAAAACGCTGCATGTAGGTAACCAGGAAGACCTGGCATGGACTTTTAGTGGTTTGAGTATTCTCCTAATAATCAAGTGGAAACATAGGCGTCGCAACCATTATATGTGAAGGGGACAAGTCCCCCACACATTAAAAAAATGTTAATTTGGAACCCCCCCCCCACACACACACACACACACACTTTTACTATGAAACATTAGTTCAGGCCGCGCAGTTTCTCTTTCTTCGTGAACAAATCCATTCCACTTGATTAATAGGAGAATACTCAAACCACTAAAACTCCACTCCTGGTTTTCCTGGTTACCTCCAACTCTAAACACAGCAGCCTGTTGCCACTGTCACAATATCAGTGGTCACAGAATATTGTGTAACACCTGCAGTCTTTCTGTGCGTCTCCTCCTGTCTCGGCATAAAATGCGCACAGGTGGAGGAGATGGAGACACCTCTGTGTTACTCGCTCGCCAGTTTAGTATGCTTAGTGTGGGCAGTTGTTGACCAGGGGGTTGATCATAAACATATATACATGGTTAGGAGGAGACAAGTGGAGCGCTATGTCTGTAGCATCTTAGCTTAGCAGTAACTGTGACGTTGTAAGACGCTGCAGGTGTAAGAGACGCTGTGTGTTCAGGTGCATTAAAGTTGAAATATCTTTAAAACCCCACACCTTATTGTCCTCAAGCTTCGTGAGAAACATCATTTAGATGAGTAGTGTTGAACACAAGTAAAGTCCAGTGGTGATGTTTTTTTATTCTCTATAAAGACAAATAGTGCTGATCTGTATTAAAGTGTATTGAAGTTAAAATGTCTTTAAAACCCTCAGCTGAATTTACACAAACTTGGTGAGAAACATGTTTTAAATGTGTGGAATTAAAGGAAATCTAGGTGAAATGTTGCTTTTTTGTTCACTAGTGAACACCTTTTTTTAAAAGCATGCACACATGCACACACACACGTGCACACACGCACACCTACACACATCATTGTGTCCCCCCCACATTACGGATGCTTCCAATGCCCTTGAGTGGAACAAATTTGTTCACAAAGAAATTGAAACAGCGCTGGGTGAATTAATATTTAATGGTAAATGTGGGGAGGTACAAAATAATATTTTTGTAAATGTGAGGGGGACATGTCCCCTTCACATATAATTGATGCAATACCTGTGCATCTTTTGTACTGTTTTGTTAAATTTATTTTCTAAATTAGTTTTTGCAGATGTTAGGTTTGTATTGGCACTAGATAAAGGACATAAGTAACCCTTCATAAGATGTGTTTACTGGTTTATTGATCTCCTCTAAGAGATGGCCCCAGGATCTATCAGTGTGACTTGGACCAGCGTTCTGACTTTGCCTGGATTTATCTGAATTTACAGTTTTATTGATAGGTCTAGCAGTATGATTACTAGATGCAGCACAGAAAGCTAGGCTAAAAATGTATTGAAAAAATACCACAGGATTTTAGTGTATTGCTAAATAGGAACAACCATCCGAGTTTAAAGTGAAACAGCTGCATGTAGCAGGCGATTGACCCATTATATACCAATGTGTCACAGTCTTAATCGTGACAACCGAAGCACAACCGTAGCTGTAGACACAATCACAGTGACAGGCCGTGTCATCCCACGACTACAGTCATAACTATGGTGACAGTCTGTCTCGATTAAACTCAGCAGCTGTCGAGGAGAGGGAGAGAGAGAGAGAGAGAGAGGTGAATCAGCTTGTCTGGTTATCTTTCTGACTGCAGTGGTTCAGACTCATGCTTGAGCAGCATCAATCAAAGGTATCTCAACAACTGCTGTAGTTAAAACCAGCAGCATTTTACCACATTACACATTGCCCTGCATCACCATGTGAAGATTTAATGCAATACAAATGTAAGGGCAAAACATTCATTCAACCTTTATTTATACAGGTTAGTCTCATTGAGTCGCGAGGACTCATTTACACGATTGGCAAGACAGAGGGATCAGGCTGGAAAAGATGTGCAGCAGGTTAGGCTTATTAAAGATAGGAATGATAATGTTGTAACAAGTGAAGAGAGTGTGATGGAAAGATGGAAGAAGTACTTTGAGCAGCTAATGAATGAAGAGAATGAAAGAGAAAGGAGTAGAGGTCATAGAAACTGTGGACCAGGAAGTGGGAAAGATTAGTGAGGGTGAAGTTCGGAAAGCTCTGAAAAGAATGAAGAAGGGGAAGGCAATAGGACCTGATGACATACCAGTGGAAGTTTGGAAATGTCTTGGATAGATGGCAGTGAGGTTTTTGACTCAAATATTCAATGGCATATTTGAGGGTGAGAAAATGCCTCAGGAATGGAGAAGAAGTGTGCTGGTGCCCATTTTTAAGAACAAGGGTGATGTAGAGTTGTAGCAACTACAGGGGAATTAAGTTGATGAGCCACACGATGAAGATCTGGGAGAGAGTTGTGGAAGCAAGACTTAGATGAGAAATGACTATCTGTGAGCAGCAGTATGGTTTCATGCCAAGAAAGAGCACCACAGATGCCATCTTTGCTTTAAGAATGCTGATGGAGAAGTACAGAGAGGGTCAGAAAGAACTCCATTGTGTCTTTGTGGATTTAGAAAAAGCATGTGACAGTGTGCCGAGGGAGGAGGTGTGGTATTGCACGAGGAAATCTGGAGTGGCAGAAAAGTATGTTAGACTGGTACAGGACATGTATGAGGACAGCAGGACAATGGTGAGATGTGCTGTAGGAGTGACAGATAGCTTCAAGGTGGAGGTGGGATTGCATCAAGGATCTGCTTTGAGCCCCTTCTTGTTTGTTCTGGTGATGGACCGACTAACAGATGAGGTCAGGCGAGAATTCCGATGATGATTGCAGATGACATTGTGATCTGTGGTGAGAACGGAACAGGTGGAAGAGAACTTGGAGAGGTGGAGGTTTGCACTTGAAAGAAGAGGAATGAAAGTCAGCCGTAGTAAGACAGAGTACATGTGTGTGAATGAGAGGGAGGCTGATGGAACAGTAAGGCTACAAGGAGCAGAGGTCACAAAGGTGCAGCACTTCAAGTACTTAAGGTCCGCTGTCCAGGTAAATGGGGAATGTGGTAAAGAAGTGAAAAAGAGAGTCCATGCAGGATGGAGTGGATGGAGAAAAGTTTCAGGAGTGATTTGTGACAAAAAGGTGTCAGCAAAGGTCAAAGGAAAAGTTTACAAGACAGTGGTGAGACCAGCTAGAATGTATGGTCTGGAGACAGTGGAATTGACAAAAAGACAGGAGAAAGAACTGGAAGTGGCAGAAATGAAGATGCTAAGGTTCTCCTTAGGAGTGACGAGGCTGGATAAGGGTACCTGAAACCACAGCCTGCTACTGGCCCAGTGACTGTGTGTGTTCTGTAGTGAAATGAACATGGAGGAGATATATGCAGAGGTCCAGATCAACCCAGCTGAGATTCACTCCTTGCCTCCATCGTTCAGCAGTAAACGCAATATTGAAAGCTGACATTTTGGATTGGAGATTCAAGAACAGCCAAAGGCAGCTTAAAGAGGGCTTGTCTTTGTGGCAGTGTTACAGAACAGTGTTGTGAAAGCGGAGACTATAAAACTGAAAAATGTTCATCTAACACATGTGTACAAATACATTGTAGTTTTGATTGAATCTGAATTGTTAAGGGTAGGGATTATATAATTTTTTTCACTGCATCACAATAACATGAACAATTCGGAATCAATATAAACAAGTGAAAAATTGTGTATTATTTATTATTAGTAATTTCATAATGAGGAACTCTAAAGTGCAGAAGTGCAGCACCCGGATAGTTTATGGAGCACACACAACAGAGACACACTAATGAAATGGTGGACTGTGTCATTGAACACCTGTGATTGGAAGTATTGCAGCTTCTTTAAAGTTAAAGGTAAAAATAATGTTTAAAAGATCCACACTGCCGTATATGAAAGTTTTGTACATGTTTCCACTTGGAGAAGAAAGAATAAAAACAGCCAAAGGTCTCTACTAGCTGCCACTGATAACAGAGGAGTATCATGTTGGCGACTTCAAAGTTTCCACCTAACTCAAAAAAAGTGAAAAGAATTATGAATTACAAAGTCCATTGCATCTTATTGCAAAAAAAAAAGTGTCCGCATTCACAAAGAAGTACACTGCCATTATCACACTCTACGACGGGATCAAAAACAATGTTGTGGAAACAAGCAGGTAAGAAAACTAACATTTATTTATGGACAACTATTGCCATATAAATTTACGTCACTGTACTCAGCATTTTGACTCTATTGTTCATTCAGTTCCCAAAATATTGTTTGAATAAAAATAACTATACTGTAGTGTAAAGCTAAATTTTCTGTTATTTTAAGGCCTGCGAGATTCTATGCTCAAGGTTTAGTCTGAAGTGTGATTATTGTTTCATAATCATTTAAAAAATGCATTTCAGCTCACTAAATCATAATAAAATCAAACGGTGAAATGTCTAAAGATTCCCATCCCCACTAATCGTTGGGCCGAGGCAATACACATCCATGTTTGACGATCGGAGTATAGATGCTATTCTTTTGGTTCCACGTTTATAACCACATTGTTTTGATATATCAGTATACACAAATAGATTTACCCTTCCAGAGGAGGGCAAAAAGGCTGTAGTTCTGGAAGACAATAATCAAGTTTAAGAAAGGTACATCAATGTAATTTGATAAGCCCATTTTAACACTTCATAAAAACAGCAATTTGATACAGCTCTTACAGCACAGACGAGCTATAAATATATTACGTTTATAAATATATTTATAAAATAGCAATATTAGAAACCCTGTAAGGAAGCATAAATTGAGAAATAACAGCACAGAGCGGTATTTCTTTCTGAAATACTGCGCTGGTCATCAGAAATGAAAGGTAATATCTATAAAGTACTGGAGGACAATCCACTTCCTCTCTCCAGAGACAGACAAAGCCAAGGTGGGCGTGGGAGACTGCAGCGTATACAAGTGATATTAAGGTAATCAATCGTCGTCAGAGCTTTGGCAGTGCTGGATTTAGTGTAGTGAGGACCATCGCATTCTGTATTAAGCCGTAATTGATTTGATCTCCATAATCTCCCTCCTGGTTGTTGTAGGTAACACTGTGTGACAGCGCTGAGTGATGTGCTTTCGGACGGGGAGGGGGTTTGAACGTGTGACGCGTCGCAATGAGGTAGACGACCCATTCATATTCATCAGCGGGGTGCTCGCTCGGGGGGCTTGGCACAACAGAGCAGCGTACTGTGCCACATACTGCACTACACAGTACCAATGCGCAGCGATTAAGCCAGAATTAGATTTTCCACATTATAAAACACTGGCATGATAAATCACTGCTTCTCGTTGCGCCGAATGACGGAAGAGGCTTGACACAATCTCCGTCTCTCATCAAACCGATTTGCTTGTGATGTTATTACACACGTTTTCGTGATGCACCCCTCCTGTGAACGATCCTTCGCTTTTAAATGCACTTTTAAATGTCAGCCTTGAGAAGCTGTAACTTGCTGTGCAGGACCTTTTCAGGCCAGACTAAATCCATTTCTGCCTTCTCTCTGTGTGTTTTTAGAGCATGCCTGATTACTATTCAATAATTATTCTTCAATTTACATCATGATTTCCAGTTCACTGCCCCTCCTGGGGATTTGACTGAGAAAAGAGTGACCAGTTTAATAGAGTATCTCTAACAGTCTTTATACTGGAACTGCAGTCTCTGACAGAGGTGTCTGAGCAGAGGATGCTGAGGAAACTGCTCCAGATCCTGAACATGTCACACCCCCTGCATGACACACTGGATTCTTACCGCAGCACCGTCAGTCATAGACTGAGACCACTGAGGTGCTCCACAGAACAACACAGGAAGTCCTTCAAACTTTTCAACTCCTCCCCTTTCTACCCACAGGGCTGCTGTTTAATATACCATATTATTTTACATTATTAGTGTTTAGTGTATATCTTAGATCGTTTAGCATTCGTTTAGCATATATTTTAGATCCTTGTATACAGTTTCTTTTTATACTTTATATTTTTGCTATTTTTGGGTGTAACTGGGACCTTGAGTAGACAATGTCGTTCCACCTCATGTACATGTGATGCGAATGACAATAAAGAATCTTGAACCTTGAAAGATTAAGTCTGCACTACAACCAACACGTTAATGTTTCTGTCTGCACCTGACCTGTTTTAGATCTTAATTGTTGGTATTTTTTATATTCTGTTTTTTTTTTTCTGTTGTTTTCTAGATCTTGTGTGATTCCTTGTGTACAGTATGATCCTTTGTACTGAAACTCTGGCACAACAATTTCCTGCGGGATCAATAACTGCCGTTTCTTTTGTTTTATTAATATTTTTATTTAGAGCTTTAAACACAGAATGTTTCACTTAAAAGTGTGGTGTCACACTATTTTTTGAGCTGGTTAGATTTTCCAAAATATTTTACTGTTCTTACTACTATAACTTTTACACTTCTTATAAAGTTTGTACATTAAAACAGACATTTTTGTCATCTCGCACCGTGTCTGTCACTGCCATAGAACCATAAGGTTTTCTCTCAACCCGTCAGAGTGCAAACAGCACACTCCCACAGTGACTACAGTTATATCTGAGCTCTGAATTTGTCTTCAAACCTGAGGTGGTGGGTGTCTTTAACCCATCATATCTGCCACATTTTGCTCTGCACATAGATACGAACACATAAAATCTCTAGATGTTTTTGTTACTCACAGTAAGAACATTTTTCGGAATCATCCTATAGTTTATGCACAACTCTTTGACAATTTCTAGTTCTTGTCTGCCTGTCTAATGAAGAGCGGGACTGTGTGACCCCCACTTCCTGCGTTACCTATAAAAAGCATAAATCATCATGGCAACGCGTGACTCAGGGAATTCTGATTTTGTGGAAAAACACTGATGCATGTTGGAATTTCAGTCCTTGAGATCCTTCAAAATTGTTCTAGGAATTCCAATAAGTTTTACTGATAACTCACAGGCAGTGCACAACGGTGCGTCCTTCCCCGCACTCCCTCTGCCACTTGTGCACTTGAGCCAGCAGGTTGAGGAACGCCTTCTTGGAGTCGGGAACGTCGCGGTACGCCGACCAGCGCAAGAACTGGAACTGACACACCACCAGCTGGCCCTCTTGGAGCTTCAGAAGCACAGATCAGACGAAACACATGTCAGATTCCACGCATGTGTCTTAATGCACCAAATATTGTTGCAGTCTGCCTAAATGTGCCAATTCTCTCCAGACTGCATGCTGGCATTTCAGCTGTGCTAACTCAGCAGCCTGACTTACAGATATATATGTGTCTGGGGGTGTAAGTGGGGCCTGTGCTGTGTGTGAAAGAGGTCCCTGTGTGTTCATAACCTTGTCCTGTAGAATCTCACCTAATACTTAAGGACCAGTGGAGAACTGTAACTCATGCAAATTAGGCTGGCAAAGACACCCAACGATGCACGAAGGAATTGCCTCAGAGGAGGTGTGAATTTAAACCATGTTTTTCCTCTTTGTTCCACCCTTACCCCCACAGACTTATGCTTACAGTGCACTTCCTAAGACTTCTACTCCCTACCCTTATATATCATTGTCACACACGAGAAACATACATAATAACGCACAGAGAGGTACTAAAAGTGAAAAGAGTGTGCGTTATTTCTAATTTAATTCCTCCTGCATTGTGTCAAGTTGCCCTTTTCCTGACTGTGATGTGCTCTGCGTAAGAAAAAGTCGTGCCACCGGCAGCTGACAGAGGAGGCAAGGATGCCAATCAAGAAGGGAAGTTGTCACGCTGATTCTAATGGCAGGGGGGAGAACGCCTTGCATACAGATTTTTATCTATAATTGGTTGATAATGTCCCGAGCAGAATGCATCCACTCACTTATGCAAAGTGCTGCCAAAAATGTTTTCTGTTTTCTGAGCTGAGAAATAAAAATAAACCAATCATGTACCACCTCTCACTAAGACAGAACACTCAGTGCTTTTATTTGGCTTATTTCACAAGCTCCATCTAATTCAGTGCATCTGAGAAAAAAAAAAGTGTGACAAGGTTTGTGAGCAAATTAAAAAAAATCTGCTTTGGGGCATGAAGTAGTATACTCCACCTGAGATATGGTAGGGACGACGATAATGAAAGTTTGATCTTTTAATATGCCAAAAGGCACTGGAGAAGGGAAGACACCTATCTGAGTAATGGCAAATAGAAATTGAAAGGAGCAGAGTGACCTTGGTAGCATGCATGTTAATGGACTTCTCCTGTGTGTTTTCCATACAAAAAATATTTTGAATATCTATTGAATATCTAATATTTTGAATCTGTATGGGAATTCGTTCAATCTTATGGACAGCTGATTCTCAGAAAACAAAACAAACAAACAAAAAAATCTTTGTTGTATGTATAGACACTGATGTGCTACTCTAAAAACTGCCATATTGCCTCTGTTATATTACAGAGCAATTATTTTGAAGTGTGTTGTATAACGTCCTCTTGAGGAAACAACACTGGAGGACAGACTGTCTAAATTCACCTAGCTTTTCTCATCCATTCAGATTTAAAGGCATTCGATGAACAATCAGCAACCCTTTGACTGCGTGGCAGCTCTAAATGTACTGTTAGTCAAATGCCACGTTCACTGTCAGCTTTCTGTCTAGATTTCAGCTAATGTTGTGGAGCAACATGTCCTCCACAGACCTGTACCATGTCATAAACACTTACCCGTGTGACGTTCTTGACCCGAAACAGACGAGTGATGACATCCTCGTCTGCTGACATGGACAGAAACTCCACCTCCATGGGCCCGTACTGCTGCAAACCAGGCTCCGGCCAGTACTGCACACACGGCTTTGTGGGGAACATGATTGATAAGAGATTAGGCTTATCAGTAACGCCTTGAGGCATATGTACCAGTATTATTAAAAACAACAATCGAAGTAAAAGGTTGGTTTTTTTTGCACTGTAAAGAAAACTGTTATTGAATCCCATAAAGCAGAAAAAGAGTGCACTTTCTATAGTTCACATTTTCAATCTTACATTATGCTCTTATTCTCCAGGTTACCAACTTTCATGATTTTTTAAAAAAATGCCATATTGCAATTTTCTGTAAAAGATCTTTTTCTACTGACACAAACTTGCTGACAACAAAGTGAATTTTAAAGAAAATCAAATGTAGGCTCTATAACCTAAATACAATCATTTAGAGGCACTTTGGGGAGAAAACAGCAACATATTAAATTCAAATAATTGGTCCTAAAGATTTTATGCAACTCTATTTGAAGGAAACTATGGGCACAAGTAATAAAATGCCTTTCTGTCAACAACTTTGGTCATTTATACTCAATTAAACTTTATACTGTTATATCATCTTAAAGCAATGTGAACTTTTAGCAGCTTGATTACCATACACAAAACAGTTAAAAAACAACAAACAAACAAAAACCTCTAAAAAACACACCAACTAAAAAAAACACTGACAATCGTTTTAAAACATGGAGCTTAAATCTACCTCATGGTAGTAGCTGCTTTACAGAAAACAGACTAAAATATTCACAAGGTTAGAGTTTGCCTTAGCTATCATTGTCGATGCTTTGAGTGTTTTTAAGTGATTTCTGAATCTGTGTTCAGTCACACTGAACCAGTTTCTTGCTCTTTAACGGAGTACATCACCTCCATTGTTCCTAATCTGTTGGTTGCATTATGTCAGAACTCCATTATAATACTGTCACCCACCGCTATTAAAGGTGGACAATCATTTAATTGCCTCTGTCTGTATTTGTTTGTCTGTTAGCAAAATATCTCATGATGTGTTAGCAAAATATGTTGCGACGTTTTGGACAGATTTGAATGAAACAGAAATAATCTTTGGACGTACATCTACAGCTGATGAAATGTAGCGTCTCGCTGGTCTTTGACAGTTAGCAAACACTAAAAATTCAGTGAGATTAATGGAAAATTTGCCTACTTTCCTCATTTATTTTCACCATTTAGAGCCTCCACCAGTAGCAGTCCAGTGCACCACCCTGAGTTTTACAATCAACCTGATTCAACACAGCCACCACAACCATCTGATATTAGCTAACACAACAATTGCTTTACAGTACCGGTAGTCCATCAGTACTTCACGGTTCAACTTTTTCGGACTCGCTCTATCGCGGTTTGTGGACGTAAAGTCCATAATATTGAACAACAACAACAAATTGTACAGGACACATGATTGTCATCTTTAATATTACTCACGTGATTAGGACAGTACTAGATACAGTACTGTACAGTAAAAAGTTAACAAAAAAATTAAATACTTGGAACAGTAATCCTCCACTGTACTCTCGCTCATAATGACTACATTTCCCAGAAGGCAACAGGGCCCAGCCCAGAGGTAACATTTTCTTTCTGAAAAACCAGAGGTAAAGTTTTTATCTGGTCGGTGACTAGCGGATGCAGAGAAGCCACACTGAACCTGAGCAGAACCTGAGCAGAACCGGTCCTCCTGACCCATCAGTGAATCTTGAGAGATGGTACCTGGCCCACGAGGATTTCTAAGCGTGGATGCGTGCCCAAGGTCTGGAGCGGTTTCCGTAGCTAAATGGAACTTTTTTCATCCAGACTTGGACTCAAATCGACCACCTCTGGTCCGTGCCGTGCATTCCTTCATGGAATACTACTTTTTAATTGTTACAAACTTTTTTCTCCCACCTGAATTTTTTCTTTACGACAAATGAAATTCTTCATTCTCTTTCATAATAATCTATGGTATTTCACACGCTTTCATTTCACTGAATCTGTGCTTGATTGCTGTAATGACCCTTTCTTCCATCTTACTAAGCAAATGAGGGGATGACTCAAATTGTTAGGAAAAAAAGGGTGTTCAAAAACAGACAGACATCATTAAACGTACTTGTAGCTGCAGCTGATTTATAAAAAAAACTTGCATGTCTGAAAATGATTTGTTACAAACATTTGTTCTGAAAGTCCTGAACGTTGTGCCCCAGTCATTCTCGCTCTGATTGTGATTATTTTAAGAGCTAAAGCAGGAACGGGAAATGCTGCAGTACAGAGAAAAGAATATGCTCATGAGGAAAAAGTGGGACGGAAACAAAAAGAGCCTTGAAATGTGGCTGGGGGGCGGAAATATATTCTGAGATGGATCTTGAGGATTGAAGGAAAAAAAACTGGGATGTGTGTTATCAAGTCATGCTTTCAGACCAATGTGGTCAGGGATCAAAGCCCAAAAAGATGGCATGAAGAAACTAATCAGATACAGAAATAATGAAAGGCGGGACGTGTCAGGAAATGTAAAGTTCATATAACCTCGATTCTGAAAGTAAGTCTCAAACAAAAACTTCTGTGTGTCAGTTGACTCAAACATTGTGCTACATCTCAGTTCCCTTGTAATGTCAACAAATCAATGGCAATAAAAAAGCATGAAACACTTTGACCTCACCCAGGCAGAGTTAGACTGGTTGAGCTGGTTGAGCATGACCACTGCTGTGCAGCCGTAGTCAAAAACCAGCCTCCAAAAATCAGCCGTGGTGCCGGGCAAAGGGTGAGGGGTCACGATGAAGGCAGCCTGCCGGTGAAAGCTGTCGGCGAGCGCAGCGTTGATGTAATTGTTACTTTCCCCTTCTGTAGTAACCAGGAAAGCCAGGGCGCGATCAGGTGGCAGGACGTCCATGCTGCGGTTTTTCTCTCGGTTTCTGGGCAACAGAGCGATGCTGCACTCCTCCACATCCAGGTGGGGAGTCACCGAGTTTAGAGTCTGCACATGGAAATGTTAAACAGGTGAGCTCAGGAGCACAAGAACTTCATGACAGAAATGACACGTGTGAGACATGACAGGAATCGCAGATGTTAAAAACAAATAAAAAATAAAAAACACACACAGAGTGCAAAACTCTATAACATTACAAAGACAGTTCAGATCTTTTGAAGTGGAATTCTGTGAAAAATTATACACAATTATTTTCTTATAACCTAAAGTTTGCAGAAACAGACTTAAATTGTGAGCAGATAGAGGAGCTTTCGACTGGTCCAAGTGGGGCTGACCAAAGTGAAGGCAGAAGTGCTCAGGCTGCACCAAAAGTGCTACAGCTAAAAGATGTGGCTATTTGCACTAGAGCAGTTGCTACACCCTGGGTTAGAGAGGCTGTCAAGCTGAAGGAGGAGACCTATTGGGCCTTGTTGGCTGGTGGGACTCTGTGGGAGCTGGTCTCCACCAGGGCTGCCCGTTGTCACCAATTCTGTTCAGAACTTTTATGGACAGAATTTCTCAGTGCAGCCAGGGGAAGGAGAGAGTCCGGTCCGGTAGCCTCAAAACTCCATCTCTCTATTTGCAGATGATGTGGCCCTGTTGGCGTCATCGTGCCGTGAACTTCAGCTCTCACTAGAGCGGTTCACATGCAAGTGTGAAGAGGCTGTGATGAGAATCAGCGCCTCCAAATCTGAGGCCATAGTCCTGAGTCGGAAAAGGGTGGATTGCTCTCTTCAGGTCCAGTGTGAGGTTCTGTCTCAAGTGGAGGAGTTCAAGTATCTCGGGGTTTTGTTCATGAGAAAGGAAGGAATGGAGTGTGAGATTGACAGACGGATTGGTGCAGTATTGCAGACTCTGTGCCGGTCCATTGTGGTGAAGAGGGAGCTGAGCTGCAAGGCAAAGCTCTCCGTTTAACGGACCGTCTAAGTTCCTACCCTCATATATGGTCATGAGCTTTGGGTAATGACCAAAAGAATGAGATCGCAGATACAGGCAGTTGAAATGAGTTTCCTCCACAGGGTAGCTGGACTCTCCCTTAGAGATAGGGTGAGAAGTTTTGTTATTTGGGAGAGACTCAGAGTAGAACCGCTGCTCCTCCACATTGAAAAAAGAGCCAGTTGAGGTGGTTCAGGCATCTGGTAAGGATGCTCCCCAGGCGCCTCCCTAGAAAGGTGCTTCGGACATGTCTGACTGGGAGAAGACCCCGGAGAAGACACAGGACACACTGGAGAGACTACGTCTCTCGGTTGTCCTGGGAACACCTTGGGGTCCTCCCAGAAGAGCTGGAAGAGGTGGCTGTGCGTCTGGGCCCCCCTGCTCAAGCTGCTGCCCCGCGACTCAACTTCAGAACAAGTGGAAGATAATGGATGGATGGATATTTGCACTTGCAAGCTATTAAAATGTCTTTGCAAATACCTGTGTAATGTAAAATGTGTCTTGATGTGAAGTTATTACCTTTGGCATGAACTGCTAATAAATATTTGGTGACACCAATCCACTTTAGTCTTGGCATCACTTAGACTGTCAATCAATATGCTCAGGTATTATCCCTTTGCCCCAAACTGAAGCTACCAAAGAGTGATCTACAACAGGTAAGATATTATTTGTTCATAAGCTTTCCACAGAACCTCATCTAAAAAAAGGCATCTTAACCTGAAGTTGATGCTTTGACAAACTACATTAGCAGAATAATGGAGCTGTTGAACAAACGGCATCATTAAAATGAATGTGATGACATTTAAAGATTCTCTGTTGTTTTATTGCCATAATCACTTTAGTCAAGAGGAAACATTTTGGATCATTAATACGCTGCATCAATAATAGATCTATGACTTACTGATCTCAGTATTACTGATTAGTATAAAAAGGCAGAAAAAGCTCATCGGGTGCTGAAGAGGCTTTTAAAGTCAATGCCAGGCACACAAGTTCACACGATCAAAAAGAGGAATGTAACATTTTTCTTTTTGAAGAGGGAACAATTTATATCCTGAGTGCTGCACCACCTACAGTGCCAGTCCTGAGTCATAAAAAATCCATCCCTGAGAGCTCCGATTATATGTATATTTTATGAGGATGAATTAGAACAAAGTTAAAGAAGGAGAATAATCCTTTATTTTGTATCACTTGGAAATGCTAAATGTGAAATCAGTGAGGCTGATGTTTGACAATTAAATGAAACAAATAAAGCATGTGGGAATACAGCTGGCTCTTTAAATCAACATCTGATCAAATGTGCTGCGAATGAATTCCTTTAAACCGGGGAGGGATTTTATGTTACTCACAAAACGAGAAAACTGAAACTCATCTTGACACAAAAATATGAGGTAAATCTTTACAAAATAACAAATGCAGTAAGTCATAAAAAACAAAAACAACAACGTTTAAACGGTCACCTGAAACTCCTCACGCAGCTGAGAGGAGTTACTCTGAGAATCCACCCGCAGCATCTCCTTGTAGGTGACTGCAAACTCGTTCACAAGGATGGCTGTTTCTCCACACAGGCAGGCCTCAAGAATGGCATCATGGATGAAAATATACTGCTCCTGAAAAAAAAAGAAAAAGACAAGAGGTGGAATAAATTGTATTTCTGCAGGATTCTAAGAGATGAACTTTCAGACAACACATTGGATGCAAACAGACATACAGCAGCAGGTTAGAAACATTCATTCATATAAATAGATTTTCAAACAATAGAAAAAAGGCAAGAGCACATTATTATTTTCACACAAAGACATGCAGCATTTGGGTATTAAACAGGTCTCTCTTGTAAATGAGTCCTTGTGAGACTAACCTGTATAAATAAAGGTTGAATGAATGTTACCCAGCAAATTACTGCAAATAATAAGTACCGGCAGTAAATATATCTCTGTGAAATTTAATGGCAGCATAAATGAAGCTGCTCTGTGCTTCCCACAACAAAAGGGATTAAACTGCATGAGACCAAGAACACAGCAGACCAGTCAGGTATGACGCACTGCACATCATGCCCTACAGCTGGACTAAACATAATAATCTGTCAGGTTTTAAACCTTCAAATAATGGTGGAAAATAAAATCAGACTTCTCTCAGGTTTTTAAATACATTGATTTTTTTTTTAAATCATACAGCGTTCAGGCTGGGCATTTGAGGAAGTGCAGAATACATTCATATAAATGTGCAATGTATGATTTAGTCGGCACATTAGTCCTGACCTCTGTCTGGATCATGTTGATGCGTCGAGAGCAGAGGGTCTTCACACAGTTGTAGATATCCACCACGCCTTCGCACTCGGCCATGTCCAACATGACGTCCAGCACGATGTAGCAGCCTGTGCGTCCTGCCCCCGCACTGCAACAGAAAGGCAGAGATTCAGAAGACATTGTGCTCGCTGTTACAGCATGAAGTCTTTTCTGTGTCAGTGAAAACAAGCTGCTGAATCATCATCATCAACTTTATTTGTAAAGTGCTTTAACACCAGCCACAGCTGAAACAAAGGGCTGAACATCAGTAATAAATAAGCTAAAAGAGAGCATAAAAATAAAGTGACAAAGCTAAGCATGCAATAATGAATTAAAACTCAATTTAAAAACAATAAAATGACGAGTTAAACAGATAAAATCAATACCATTAACAATTAAGTAAAATCAAGTTTCAGTAGGGCTGAAGGCCAAAGAGTAGAGATAAGTTTTCAGACGGGTTTTAAACATGGACAGTGAAGGAGCCTGTTAAATGTGCAAAGGCAGAGCGAATCGTTCCTAGATTACTTTTGGTATGCTAAAAACAAGAAATAATTCAAAGCTACTAATAAAATACAGGTAGACTATTTTAACTTTTGCTGACTTTTTGTGAAGCTTACACACATATATATATATATATATATATATATATATATACATATACACAGTAGTCCCCGCGGTTTGTTTTTCGCGGACTCGCTCTGTCATGGTTTTTCAAAGTAAGACTGGACATGACACACAATGGCTGATTGATGGATAAGTCACACGGTCAGCATGGCTATTTTTATTTAAAATGATTTAGCAACTGTGTGCAGCCTACAGCCGTGAGATAACCTTCCTCCTGCAGCTGATCGACTGATCTCCGTGCAGAGTGGAGAAGTGGGCGTGGCTGAGAGTGCAGCCGGAGACAGGAGCTCAAATCATGACATGCTGTGCTCTTTTAGAGCAATTAGAGTTTAGAAACATTGTTTAGAATATTGCAAGAGTGTGGGAGGGGTTTAAAACACCTTATATCAGAGAGTCAGAGTCAGAGTTTCTTTATTGTCATTCGCACCTCATGTGGTACATGTGGCGGAGCGAAATTATGTACACAGGGTCCCAGTTACATCCAACAATAAAATGTATAAGAAAAACAGTAATAACATCTAAGATATGAACTAAGAAAAACATCAACTAAATATACACTAAGCACTCATAACATAAAACATTGAACATCAGCACAAACATGAACATGAGTCTGTGAGCAGATG